CTTTATTTCTAGGTTGAATCTCTCCTTGATCAATATGAAAGAGAGATATTATTCTTTGATTATGCTTTTGCAAAAGCTCTTATGGTTTGGAAAATAACTACTTATTCAAATGGTCCTGTCCTGCTTCGTAATTGAGCAAAACAAAATATGCCATTCCCCATGAAATAAAAAAAGAGATATCCATAAAGTAAATTGACAAAAGTATCACAATTTTGTTATGTTTGTTGCATAATAATGGGTACCATACAGGAAATAGACAGAAATGACCCTTTTAATATGACATTGTCTTTGTAATGCTTGATGAACAATTTGATATTAATGTTTGGTGATTACTTCATATAGAGAGATAAAAAAAACCACCCACTGCTTGAATTTGCATTCAATATATGAACAGCAGGATGCTATATGCCTGCAGTGAATCTTCAATTTTCACCGCTCATGCCTTAATTTTCTCCAAGAAATCATCTCTGTGAACTAATAATGGGCTTTTCACCTCAAAATAAGTTCCTCTTTCAAATCTCTGAAAAGGAAAAATATTGTAATTTAGAACCTACAAAATCAACATTTTTATTTTTTAAAAAAAGCAGATGCACTATAATGCATTCTGTAAATGCCATTAAAATGTTTTAGTATTTATATGTCTAAAATTAGGAAACACTGAGAATATGCACTGCCATGTATTTTTTAATTATAAAAAGATTCCTGCCTTCTAAAATGTATTTCCCCACAGTTTTACTCAGCTTGTAATTACATACTAAGGTTGGTACCACATGTGCTAATTGATCCAAAAGAATAGCAAGAAAACAGTCATAAGTACCTGCTGGGAATCTGTCACTTTCCAGTTACTGCTGAATTATAATTTCCAGCAGCTCGTCAATGTGGCCCAAAAGAGACGCTGGGAGCTGCAGCCAGTAACATCTGGAAGGCCACAGGTCTCCATTTGTTGCTTACTGAATTTCCACCCTCATTCAGCATGTTAGACAGTTGCTAACTAATTTCCTTCCAGTCCTTTTACGCTGCTTCTTGGATACATCTCTGTATCCAAATTCCAGGGCTCCAGGATAAAAAGTATTGGCTGTCTTTTGCTAATGCATAAATACTATGGGAGGTATGTAACATAGTTATTACGATAAACTAATCCTAAAGTAAGCCAAATGATTGACTTGAATGCTTTATTCTAGCGAACAGTAGGTATATATCCTGCTGGTAGAAGAGATGGAAAAAATAAGCCAAGATTATATTTAACAGCTCCTTATTTAGATAATAAAAAGCACTGTTTCAATTAATGAAGGCAGAATGGGGTGGACTCAACCTTTATATGTGCTTACTCCAAATATATATTTTTTCAGGATGTGGAGGTACTTCTGCAATCTTCACATATCACTGAATGTAAAAAGGAAGTGGGCCATACCTGACAAGTGGACAGAGACAGTGGTGGGATTCAAATAATTTAATACCGGCTCTCTGCCCTAATGATTTTGTCCAACAACCAGTTCACCAAACTGCTCAGAAAGTTAACAACCAGTTCTCCCGAACTGGTGTGAACTGGCTGAATCCCACCACTGGACAGAGTTAAGGGACTGATTAGCCGTATCTGAATTTCATGACTCAGGTTTCCTAACTATAAGAAGTGACTTCAGTTTCAGAACTTAAGGAATTATAACATGCAAATCAGGATTGGAATAATAATTAGGAAGTGGTAGTTATTGCAACTGAATTACTTATTACCCCTACTTTTGAAAATACATGTGAACCATTCATTTGTTTGACTGACATGGCACAAGAATTATTAGATATCTCTCTGTGATGATGGCATTAAAACAATGGCAAATTTCAGAATCAGGGACAGAATTTCTAATGAGATTTGACTTCACTATCTGGCATAGACGTTAGCATTCTCCATGAGTTACAAACATGCTAGCATTATATTGTACAATCCTGTGCACTATTTTCATATGCTACTCTAGTTCAAGCCTTTGGAATAGGATTTATTTACTTATTTAACTTTTTCCATGTGTTTTTTGAGTGGTGTCATGGATCTGCACTGCAAAAACTAGGTGAGGAAATGAAGAAATCAAGAACACAAGGGCAAGTTTTAAATGTATAATTTAAATTAAATTAAGTATTTATTTATTTTATTTATTCATTTGATTTGTCAATTGCTTGCAAGGTAATAAACATAAGAATAAACATACAAATATATTAACATAAGTATGAATACAGGAAATATGTACAAACAATTGCGGACAATAGGACAGGAATGGTAGGCACGATTGTGCACATGCATGCCCCTTATGTTTATTAAGTATGATTAATATGAATTATATTATACAGGTAATCCTCCACTTATGACCACAATTGAACCCAACATTTCAGTGCTAAGTGAGACATTTGTTAAATGAATTTTGTCCCATTTTACGACCTTTTCCCCCACAATGGTTAAGTGAATCACTGTGGTTATTAAATTAGTAACATGGTTACTAAGTGAATCTGGTCTCCCACTGAGCTTGCTTGTAGAAGGTTACAAAAGGGCATTACATGACCCCAGGACAGTGCAATGGTCATAAATATGAATTAGTTGCCAAGAGTCTGAATTTTGAACACTTGACCATAGGGAGGCTACAATAGTCGTGTGAAAAACGGTCATAACTCACTTCTCCAGTGCAATTGTAACTTTTTGAATTATCACATCTATATATAACTATATATTGCAAACTATCCTAAAAATACGAGTTCCAGGTGTAGCTATAAAAGAAGAGACAGACATCACAATCTCTAGAACTTAAAGTATACTATCCACTTAGCTTTCGTTAGTGTCTCCTAACATTGTCAGAGTGTAAAAATTACCTTTGAAGCCTTTATGCATCAGCCTAAGTGGGGCGTGATAGGGGAGGAAGCAATAGAGTCAAGCCTCTATCGATTAACATGTCTGAAGTAAAAATGATAGAGCTAATCACAGGTGGGAGGTGAGTGGATGGGCCTATCACGCGCTCAATGGCTAAATTGATCAATGATGCATAAAAGTGAATATTTCTTCAATGGTAGTTTTTACACTCTGATGATATTAGCAGAGGCTAATGAAAACTAAGTGGATAATATTGTTTAAGTTCCAGAGAAATCATGATGTATGTCTCTTTATATATATAAAGAGGCTGTGAAAGCCTGACACACAGACGAACCCAATACACAAGCCTGATGGTGGCAGATGAGATTCTGCTGAAACGTCGCTACAACTTTAAAAGCACAACTATAATGACGTGGGAAAATACCTGAATAAAGCTGAATACCATATGTGTGTACACGCACACACATCTGTCTGTCTGTCTGTCTATCTATCTATCTATCTATCTATCTATCTATCTATCTATCTATCTATTTCAGAAGTCAACCAGCTAAAACGGATTGACTTCTGAGTGATAAAATTCATTAAGCCTTTAAATGACACCACTATAAACTGAGACATTTTTACATGTATTTTTCTAATTCATCTACAGTGGTACCTTGGTACTCAATTGTTTGAAACTCATTGAATTTGGTACTCAATGCATTTTGATACAAAAAATTTACCCCAGTATTCATCATTTGTTTGGTACTCACTGCACAAGCTAGAACTTGTCTATTTTGGTTGCCTTGTGATTCACTACATTATTACTTATGGGAAAAGATTGTTTGGTATCATGATTTTTGGTACTCATTGCATCTCTCAGTACTAATTAATGATGAATACCAAAGTTTATCACTTGGTCTAATTGATTGAACAGCTTTATTATATTGATCCCGATCATCTTCATGTCCATTTAACTGCTTCATGATGATTGACAATAAGTATGTTGTCTGGAGTTTTATTATGGTAAAAAAGCACTAGCTTTGCCATTAGGGAGAATGTTGCAAATATTTCAGTTCTTCCTCTTGAGTTGAGTGGCATTATTACACTCATAGTTACTTCATGAGATCCTCATAATTAGATCATATTTTTTTCATGCAGTTGTTCATGGCTGCAATCCTACTCAACTTAATGGGATTTACTTCTGAGCAGAAAATGCTTTTGGGTTGTACAACTGCTTTCTGTCATGCACTTTGAATAATTCTTCCAGAAAATACAGAAATAAGAAAGCTAACAGGAGTATCTTCTGACTAGCTCTGAGACATTTCTGCAATTCATTGTTAAAAGATCTGTTGAAGCTATTGGCACTCAGCATTAACAGTAGATTAGATGAATACAGGGAGTATGGGTTAGCAACATGTGCTTTGCATGAACCATCACCCTCATGGATTTCAGAACAATAAGTCAAACACTCTGAAATTTACTGCCATTTTTTGACAATGCTTACTGCTTCTTAAAGAAAAAGAATGTTCTAAACATCATATATTGTTGTCTAAAATTGGGGAGAAAGAGAGTAAAAAATACCACGGCCCTGTGGGATAACATTATTGTATCCCTGGTATATCTTTTACAGTCCTCATTTGACAGTGAGATGGGCAGCATATAAATTAAATAAATATATTAAATAAATTAAAACAATCAATTTATAGAAAAAAAACCCCAGTGTCTTAGACTTTACTGATAATCTTGTCAGTAAAACCAATAGCTTTGGAACCTCCCAATTAAGTGGCATTATGCTTTCAGTGCTAGCTTGGGAGCATCGAACAAAACAGTGGTTTATTGCCAGTTTAGAGCTGTTGTGATGCAGTGGTTAAAATGCAGTACTGCAGGCTATTGTTGGGAACAATATGCTGACTCTGTAAACTACTTAGAGAGGAATATAAAGCAATGTGAAGTGGTATGTAAGTCTAAGTGCTATTGCTATTGCCTTCATATCCTAGTTGTAGATTTTCTAAACATATCTTACTGGCTACTAAGGGAAATAGATTTTAAACTAGGTACACCTTGATTTATCTAGTCTAGCTTTTCTTATGTTCAGTTGTTCTAAAGCATTTACTATGGTGAGTCACAGCTTATTTTATCCGCTGCTTTGATGCATCTGGTGGCATAACATGGACTCTTTTGATCACTTGTAGAATATTATATCAGATGTCAGATGTCCTCATATTATAACACCATGTTAAGATTGGACATTTATAGTATTAAATTGCCTCCACAATTAGCTTTCAGAATAATAAGCTGCTTAATTTTCAGGCAGGAGAATACAATCTATGTCAAACGAGAACTTTAAACTAAAGCCTTCCTGGACCAACCACAACAAATTTAAATGTATACCAAATTGAATGTTACGCTGCATAAAGGTCTAAGGAAACACTTTTTAGTGCAGCATGTATTTATGCTGGACTTTGAGCATATCTTTTTTGACGTGCTTTTCAAGACTGCAAGAAAATAGACTGAAATGGATAGGCAAATAGTAAGTGAACATAAGCAGATGCTTAATGTAAAAAAAAAAGATCAAGCATTAAATCTTTGATTTGGAAGGGGAGAGTGGAAGCCCAGCCTGATATAACCTGTTCAAATGCACAGTATATTGAAACAATATAAGGCAAACCAAAATTACCTGTTCTTGCCTGAGGCTCTTTCGGCTACAGGCATGAATTGTGGAATGCATGCTGATTTTCAAGTGATCCCTTGAAGTGGCTGCTCACTTTGCAGGATACAGAATATGGAAAGATGAGACAAAGGTATTATGGAATCTTGAAAAAAGATGTTAACTTCAGTAGGACAATGTTAAATGAAGAATGTGAATGAAGAAGGCACTAATAAGATAAATTTCAAATCAATTATGAGATAAGGTAAAGGTAAAGGTTCCCCTTGCACATATGTGCTAGTCATTTCTGGCTCTAGGGGGCAGTGCTCATCTCTGTTACAAAGCCAAAGAGCCAGCGCTCTCTGAAGATGTCTCCTTGGTCATGTGGCTGGCATGACGAAATGCCGAAGGTGCACAGAACACTGTTACCTTCCCACCAAAATGGTCCCTATTTTTCTACTTGCATTTTTACATGCTTTCAAATTGCTAGGTTGGCAGAAGCTGGGACAAGTAACGGGAGCTCACTCTGTTGCATGGTGCTAGGGATTCGAACTGCTGAACTGCCGACCTTTCTGATCAACAAGCTCAGTGTCTTAGCCACTGAGCCACTGTGTTCCTTAATTATGAGCCTTTTTGTTTCCATTTGACAATCCAGATGCATTTCTTCAGATGCATTTCTTTTAAAAAAAAGTCATTTGGTCATACCAACCAACTACATGACATAGAACTAGGTTATTTGATGCACAACTGTCTCTCCAAAATCTCTGCCCATCCCTCACACACCCATAGAACCACAAGGAGGGCAGGCTTCAGATTCCTTCATTTAGATATTTTTATCTTATAGAACTGAGGTAAGAGGTAAAGCTTTCCTTGTCAGTCATGTCCGACTCTAGGCCATGGTGCTCATCTACGTTTCTTGACTGAGGGAACCAGCATTATCCAAAGACAGTTTCCGTGATCATGTGGCCAGCATGGCTATATTCCAAAGGTGCACAGAACACTATTTCCTTCCCACCAAAGTGGTACTTATTAATCTACTTGCACTTGCATGTTTTCAAACTGCTAGGTGGGAAGCATACCTTTTTTGAGGTTGCTCTTACTCTCTGGAACAACTGCTCTCTCACCCACCCCAATATAGGATTGCACCAACTCATTTAACTTTTCGGAGAGTCATCAAACCCTGGTTGTTCCCATAGGCATTTGGTACTGGTTGAGTGGACATCCCCTTGTGATTGTTTCATTATATGCTTGGATGCCATTTAATATTTATATATTTGATTTCTTAATTGTTATGTGTCCTGTCTCCCAAAGTTATTCTCACATCCCATTAACTCAGTGAACACCAATGGAAATAATTTATTAAGTAATATTCGTAGTAATGGTTTTATTGTTCTTATTATTTCCAGATGTTTTTGAACTGTGGGAACCAGCCTGAAACAATTAGTGGAGGAGGGGGGGAAGGGTTTCACGAAGTCGAGGTGCTGCCAGATTCACTTTGGGCTTTTCATGCTGCTTTGACTATGGACCTTTCCCAAGCAATAAAAAAGCATGTTTTAACAATGTATCTATGCTACCTGTGTAAGTTTGCAGTGGGTGGTTGCAGTTCCACAAAATTAGAAAAATGGTGTGATATATAAAGTGTAATGATTACAAATGGCATATTTATTTTTTGCTTAATTGAAGTTTTCTTCATGGGGTGGGTCACACACATTCATACTGTATCAATTTAGGTGCTTGTATGTAACAGTGGTCTATAAGTACACCCAGGTAATGCTTTATTTATGACCATTCATTTAGAAACCATTAGAAGTTACAATGTGTGATGACCCGGGGCGTGGCACAAAAGCAACAAAGTCACAAAAGTAGGTAAAGCCCTTTAATACCTCAAACTTGTCTCCCAATGTCCAGTTACGGTTGGAGAAAAAAACTCTCCCAAGAACAGTTTTTAAAGGGAAGAAATTCAGTCTGAATTCAAAGTACATTTAAATTATAAATAAAAACCAACACAAACCATGCTGCAGCAATTAATGAGACAGGGCAGGATAAGAAATTGCAGACTCCAAAAGATAACGAAATACACACAGTTGGGAGGATGCCAGAACCCAGATAAGACTTGACAAACAAAGAACAAAGCTTCTCTTCTAGCAAGGTGCTGTGTGCAAACACCCTTTGCAGTTTTCCCAGCTGCAGCTAATGAAGGGAATCAGGGCTCTTTTCTGCCCCATTACCCACATAACTCATGTTGCTCCCTTCTTTGTTCCTCCCTGCATGCCCTAGGATGAAGAGGGGGTGAGCCTGGGTCTTCCTCTGAATGCCCAGCCACATGGTGCCCTTTCCCAATTTCCTCCACAGCCACCAGAGCCACACTTCCACTTCCTGTCAGCTGCTCGACCTCCCCCTCGGAATCATATTCCAACAGGGGCATGACACAATGGCATAAAAGAGGTGACTTATATACATTTTTCACATTTATGATGGGTATAGCATCCCCATGGTCATGTGATCAAAATTCTGATGCTCGGCAACTAGCTCATATTGTTGATGGCTACAGTGTCCCAGAGTCGTGTGAGCACCTTTTGTGACATTCTGACAAGCAAATGAGGTAGACAGATCCACTTTACAACTGTGTTACTAACTGAAAATGGCAATAATTTACTTAGCAACTGTGGCAAGAAAGGTCATAAAATGGGGCAAAACTCACTTAACAATTGTCTTGCTTAGCAACACAAATGTTGGGCTCAATTATGGTTGTAAATCAACAACTACCAATACTTCAAAGAATATAATGCCTAAATCTTAAGAACGCCCAAGATTTGGACGTTTTTCTTCCACATCTCACAAAATGTGGCTATTCCAACAACACCATAGCTATTTTTTTAAAAAAAAATATAGTTTGGTTTAATTTTGGATCTATTATACAAGGTAAAAGTTTTACGCAGTTCTGCATCTCTATAGAAAAAAAAAGATGAAAAGTACTTGTTTAGGAAGGGCATGGAAATATACATGTGTAAAGATCCTGTCCGTCCTTGTCAACACATTAAACACGAGCCAGCAGTATGATGTAGTTGCTAAAAAGGGAAAAGCTATTTTGGAATATATTAACAAGAATATAGGGACATAAGTGCCTTGGTCAGACCCCACTTGGTATGACATGTACAGTTTATTATAAAGGCAATGACAAAATGCAGAGTGTAAGAGTATAGCTTTCAAGATGGCAAGTTATCTAGAGGCCAAATCCTATGAGGAACAGCTGAGGTTCGGGGTATGTTTAGATTCTAGAAGAGATTACTCAAGTAACCAGTTTGTCTTTCTCAGCTCTAGGTTGGTGGTAGTGACAAAACACTTCTGAAATCTTGGTAAGAAAATTGCAGGGACTAGTCCAGGTAGTTTCCAGAAATCAACACTGATTCAGAGAGAGAGAGAGAGAGAGAGAGAGAGAGAGAGAGAATGCATGTGTGGGAGGCATGTATGCTCCCACACACTTTACAAAGATAAGCTTCTGTGATAAATATCTCACAATTCAGAAGTTGAAAATGAAAAACAATAGGAGGGAGAACGAGTTAGGGTGACTAATATAAGAAAATACATCCATTTTTGTGTATTTCTATATGATACTGTACTTACTGGGCCAAAGGTTTTCAGGAACAGAGGGTTTAGAGAAGAAGACTGAAGAAAAATGAAGAACAGTCACTCAACAATTTTCTGTTTTGATGTTCTTGCTAAGCAACAATTCCTCATTACAGTGGATTGGTTCATACAATATGCCAACTCAAAACCAAACAAATCGTATTATGGCTCAATATGATCTGTAAGCCAGATCATTCTGTTCCTTCCCACACAACAGCTAGAACAAATTATTCTCCCCAAAGCTCTGAAAGGATGGCTGTTGCAATGGGGCTGAGGAGTGGCATGTTAGCCATGTCTATTTTATGGACTACATTACAACGAACATATGACATCTGTACCAGCGTGAAGTTTTTACAATGTGACCTTTTATTCTGTTGTCAGTGGTCCCATAGTTCACTGTTAAGGCCACTATAGATCAGTCTGGAAAAACAGATATATGGATACCACATCAGCCATGAAAGAAAGATGCTACAGTTTTCCAGGAAACAATTTGAGTAGTATATTAAGCCCTCTCTGTGTTTAAAAATGAATTGTGGTGGCATGCTCTCCTCAGTCTCTCTTCTGAGGCTGGGGAAATGTAGGTTGAAGATTTCAGGGGAAAATATCAAGAAAATTCAGAGAAATGTTTGTTTTCCTTTTCCTCTAGGCCCTTGTTTTATTTTTCCTGGATATGCTCAAAGACTCTTCCCCAAGGGTTCCTAGACCTCATTAAGTATTCATCCCTTACAGTGCTCTACTTTAACAACTGAAGGGGTCCCTTCAGTTAGCAACTTTAAAAGAAAAAGCATTTGAGATGTTTATTCTCTAGTCACAGGGATAAGCTGTGCTCAACCTATGAAGTTCTAAAGAGAATCCTTAGGGAGGTAAACCTGATGATAGCTTGAAACGAGGCTCCTTAAAATATTTATCTTTTATTTTTGGCTATATTTTTTTAAAGTCTGAATTGCTGCTGGATGCTCACCTGTCGGGTAGTGCTCTAGGATAGTGTTTCTCAACCTTGGCAACTTTAATATGCATGGATTTCATCAGCATGTTGGCTGGGGACTTCTGTGAGTTGAAGTCCATGAATCTCAAAATTTCCAAATTGAGAAATACTGCTCTAGGAGATTCTGCACATACAAGTCCTGGCAAATGTACTGTACAAGCAAAATATTTGGCATGACAAAGATGTTATATGCCATTGGGGGAAATGAGTCGAGAATTCTAAGTGGGGCAAAATATTGTCCTGTATTTTCATTGAAACCCCAGGGAAAATAAGCCTGTAAGATATTCCATTTGAATCCCCATCTCTCTGGTGTTTCAGTTTCATTCCCACTCATGATCACCATGCATGCTTCACTTCCATAGCATATTTCTGAAAATTTGTTTTGCATCCCTTTTTGAGGTTTTATTCCCTAAAGATGTTTTTTGCCACAACTTCTGCAAACATTGGAATTCCTCTAAGCATGCAGATGTTTACTTAAGGGCCCTTGCAGGATATAGAGGTGGTATAAAATCAACTCCCAAATAAGCAGTGGTTTTGAGCATTATCTTACTTAGTTGGCTGTATGGATACCTGAGTCTTACATTATGGGAAATTCAGCTAGAACAGAGGTTCTAAATAGCTCTTGATTGACTGGTAAAATTCCTGAGAGAAGTATAACATTGGTTTCAATTAGACAGTTGTACATAGAATTGGCATACACTTCCACAGATGACCAGAGACCGGTTTAAGAGACTGGTTATAACCACAGATAACTGGTCTCTTAAAAGGGGTTTTAAAAGGGCTATGCCAAATTTCATGAAGCAATGGGATGGGAACAACATCTTCAAATGGCTTGCACAATCCTATTGTGTAATCTATATTCGTAATGGAGACTGAAAGGAGGATAGTAAAAGGAGAGCTTTCTCTTCACAATTATTGGATCCAAATACCTTGGCAGGGAAATCAAGAGATCCAGGAAGTTCAAATAGATATGAAGATTTATTGCAACCTTAAGCTCTCTCTAAAAATCTGAACTACTAGCAGCCAAAGGAAATTGGTGGTAGATAAGGGTAGAAGGAATTCAAGGTGAGCTGGATTTAGCTTTCTTGTGGGAGCACAGGGATTCATGACTGATGATGCGTTTGACCTCTCCCTCAGGCTCAGCTTGGTCATCTCCTACATCCGGGTGGCTTAAGTTTTTGTTGTTGTTCTAGACAACACTCTATGTATCTGCAGAACAGAGCTTAACCCTTCAAAACTGAAGCAGAAGTAGTACTTTGTTTATCTTTGCCATAAGAATGTTTGTCATTTTGCAGAAATATATAGTAGCTATTCCTATGGAAAAAATTTCAGGGGGTATTCAATCCTACAAATCAGGACTTTATCTTTACCCCCTCCTTAATATTTTTTCCCTTTGGAAAATGTAACATGGACATTCAGATTATTCTGAAAACACTCAGCTTTGTCTATTTTCAGAAGCTAAGCATGGTTAGACCTGGTTATAGTACTTGAAAGGGAAGCAAAACAGAAAGTCCAAGACGTTTATATATAACTGGATTAATACTAATACAATGTTAGAATAAGATTTTCCTGTATGCTGAGTAGGTACTTCAAAAGAGGGCTGTGAAAATATTTACAGACCCCTCATATCCCAGACATAAACTGTTTCAATTCCTTCCCTCAAAACGATGCTATAGAGCACTGTACACCAGAACAACTAGACACCAGAACAGGTTTTTCCCGAAAGCCATCACTCTGTTAAACAAATATTTCCCTCAACACTGTTCAACTATTTACAAAGTGTGCACTACTATTACTATTAATCTTCTCATCACTCCATATCACCCATCCCCTCCCACTTGTGACTGTATGCCTATAACTTTGTCATTTGAATCCTTATGATTTATATTGACTCTTTCCTAGTATGATTTGATTGCTTATCATACCCTATGATTATTATTAAGTTTTGTACCTTATGATTCTTGACGAATGTATCTTTTCTTTTATGTACACTGAGAGTATTTGGCCAATAAATACTTGGCCAATAAAGAATTCTATTCTATTCATAAGAGGCAATCCTTGATTTATTAAGACAGCTACTACACATTTGCTTCAATTATTCACAAGCCTCATGAAAAATGTTGGAAGGTCAGTACTTTTGCTTAACCACTCAGTGAACAAGTATTTAAAGTTTACACGTGGTTAAGGTGTTTTGCACTTAGCCAGTTGCCTGCATTTCTCATGAATACTGTTAATCAGCTCATTCAATTTAACTATTTAAGTTCTGTGTTAGCCATTCAAAGATAATTTGTTTCTACTGTGCTATATTTTCTTTTATTTATTTATTTATAGCATCGGCAGGAGAATCCCATCACTGCCTTTTCAAAAGTAAATCCAATTGAACTGAATGGAGCTTATTTCAAGAAATGTGAATAAGAAATTGTAGAGGTGCAGTAGGACTGCTGGTGATATTTTTATTGAATATTTGCTCACCTCGGTGCAAATATTGGAAGCAACCATTGGATAAATAGTGAAGAGATTTGGGAAGCCTTCTGCTTCTTCAAATCTCTATGCGATAGCATTTTCTTTCCTTAAATTTCCCAAGTTCATGCACCTGGAATATTAAGTTGCCTCCAAGTTATTTTATTGTCTTAAGACACAAATCTTGTTGAATGCAAAGGGCAATAGTTTTATTTTATTTTTTCCTTCCTGTCTGGTATAAGCTTGGCATTTTTAGGAATAGAATGAGAAACCTCTTCTTTAAGAATATTATCTTCGGTATTATAGGCAACTCAGTGGTGGGCTTCAAAATTTTTAGCAAGGTTTTTCCCTTTGGAAAATGTAACATGGACATTCAGATTATTCTGAAAACAGGTTGCTAGGTGGGTGTGGCCATGGTGAGCGTGGCCCAGTCGGCCTCCTGCATCACAGCAGGGGGGGCATATTTGTCCTCTTCGGGCTCCGGAAGCTTTTCTTGAGCCTCTGGGAGGGCAAAAACAGCCTCTCTGGGCTCCAGAGGCTCCTTGGAAGCTGGAAACAGGCCTGTTTCTGGCCTTCCCGAACTTCTGGGAGGCCCGTTTTTTGCCCTCCCGGAGCCTCTGAGCATGACCTGCATTTACCTGCATCTAAAATGGGCCAGGTGGGGACTCCTGGGAGGGGAGGGCAGGGATGGGCAGGGCCAGCCAGGAGTGGGATTTGGGGGTTCTCTGAACTGTGCAGAATCTTAGCTGGGGATTCTCCCAAACCTCTGCGAGCCCCCAGCAGCCCACCACTGGGGCAACTCTATTTTTTAAAAGCTGATGAGAATGATTTTTCAAATTTATATTTGTAGTAGGGAAAGTCATTATATATCCTCAAAACTTCCTCTAAATTAGGTTTTTAAAACACACATTCTTTTCTTTCTTTGCACATGTAAACCTAGTTTTAAAGTGTTGCTTTAAAGATTTTCTTTTTATGCTCAGAAGCATTCAGATTGAGCCCCTGAATATTAAATAATGACCTGTATCTGGAGTTTTGCCCAGGTCTGTCATGGGGAAGTCCCTTAGTTTTATTGGCTACCCACTGCACTCAAATGTTGTTCCAGTAACAAGTCAGTTACAAAGTCAAAATGGCTTGCCAAATATTTTTTTAGTTTTTTTTTAAAGTCTTGTTAGGCATTAGTCTTATAGTTTCAGAAAAAGCTGTAGATTTTTGAACGTGTACAGTCATCTAAAGTCTTACAGTTTATACTGTCTTTTTATGAATTAACTCAGTGGAAGGAAAACAGTAATAACACAATGAATGTTATCATTGTTTTTAAACAGTCCAAAGATGGTTGTGTGCATATTATTAGTTTAAATATTGATTGTTCGGTTAGAAGCTAGATATTTGCATTGCTGTATTAATAATAAGTCATAATCATGTTGTCCCATGCCCTTGCTGAGGGCAGTATTTGAAACTGTACATTATATGCATCCATCACTTCACCCTGTATTGAAAGCACTTATCTTCACTAGGGCTAGGAATATGAATTGCGGAGCTCTACAGCCTGGGATCATATATGTGAGTAGTCAGATATATTTCTATAGAGATTACCTCAGAGACATAAACTTTCAAATTGTTCATATTAATATCCCCTTGCTCTGTTGAATCCAATTTGTTTGATCTGTGCAGTAATCAGTTAAACATGGTTAGGTTCAGGATTTAAACTCTTCTACAAGAAGTAGTTTAAAAATGTCTCTCAGTGCCAATAGGACTCAATAAAATAAAATACTTTGATTTCAGAGGACAATATAAATCAGCAAGGTCCATGGTTGATAGCTCGAGTTACTGCATAGAATTCCCTAAAAATACCTTTGCCTCACCTCCAAAAAGGAGAAAAAATTCAGAAATCTGGGAGCTTAATCTTAGAAGTGTTTCTCCTCCTCCTCCTCCTCCTCCTCCTCCTCCTCCTCCTCCTCCACCACCACCACCACCACCACCACCACCACCACCACCACCACCACCATCAACAACAATCAAAAACATCCTTCTTCCCAAGGCAATACTCACACTATTGAGCTTCTTCATATCTACAATAGCACTCTAGGAATTCTCAAGATTGCAGCATATTGCTGCTTTTTTTCCATTTTATCCTATTTATGTCCTAGGCTGAAAATTCATTACAATGCATATATTCTTTTCACTACTGTTCCCTTTCACTTCTGTACATAATATAGCTGAGATACCATCTCCAACCTCCCTTGGGAAGCTTTTAATGTTTACATAATATCTATAGGGAGATGGGTTTCTCCCTTTAAACATTCTGCATTGTAAAATTTAGGCTTTCACGGGAGTGGTGGTCATGTGGAAGTACAAAATGTAAGTAATGCAATACAAAAACAAATTTCTGAAATGCTCTATTCATGACAAAAAAGAAGAAATAAAATAAGGGTGTGTGTCTGGTTTTCTGCTGGCATAATAAAATGGGTTTTTTCCCCCCAAAATGTTATTTTTGTGATATATCTGAACAATAAGCACAGGATGAAAAAATAGGGGCTTTTGCATTCTAGACCAGCTCCATTAGCCAATGTAATTCCATGGGAGCTAGCTGCATGACCTTTAATATATATTATCTCCATCAAACACACCCTCCCCAAAAAACAACATGTCTAGGGAGAGAGGGAAATAAAGTTGGAAAGAGAAAAACAGTACAGCAAATAAATGAAATCGTGAAAGGGGCATGGAATTGTCTCTTTTGTAGGTAATGTGCAGGGAATCTATATTAAGAATTAAGATAGAGTTACATGAGAAACGTACTGCTGGATTGGTGTGCATAGGTTTCTTGTGTCAACAAGATTCCTCAATGCTACTAATTCAACATGATAACAACACTTGTCACATCAATGATTCCATTATTCAATTTGGGAATAGTAGAGTAAGGAAAGAACTAAGAGGAAGGCCTAGAAGCAATACTTATGATACCTTCTTTCATTTATTTATTAATTAAATATTATACTGCCATCTACTGAGGCTGGAGCAAAATGCTTTCAAGAATCTTTGAGAAAAGCAGTCTGGCTAATTGTGAGGTCCATTCTTTTGGAATAATTCATAATCAAAATGAAACTGTGGTTTTGTATATTGTAATAACTCACGTTCAGGATTTTGGTTTTAGGATCCTGTTAAATGTCACTCTAAAGATAGCAGTCTGATAGCAGCTCTCTTGATGGGAATAATTGTATCTTTAGTTGCATAACAGTAACCTGCTGACAAACCCCAAATTTGGATCTAAAACAGCATTTTTGAAACTTGGCCATTAGATGACCTATAAGGTCCCTTCCAACTCTAATTATCTGTTATCTGTTATTTTTTATGACTTTAAGATGTGTGACTTCAACTCCAAGAATTTACCAGACAGCATGCCGGCTAGGAAATTCTGCAGGTTGAAATTCACACATCTTAAAGTTGCTAAGTTTGAAAACAACTGTTCTAAAATGATTGCCAGGAAACCCAACATGTCACTTGACCACCACAGCAAGACTTTTCAACATAGGCTCAAAATCTGTCCTCCAAAGAATTTATGAAACCTACAGGTATTGGGAAGTGGGGACAAACCATTAGCTTTGTCTTAGGTTGTTTTTCATGGCTCTTTTAATCAGTTTAACATCTTGCTGTATAAATTGAAAGGAGATTTTAGTTGCATCCAATAGAACATCAGTAGATG